ATTCCATATGCAACGCAATATGCTGAGAACTCCCGAGAAGTGTACTCTCCTCCATTGTCTGAACATAGACACTTCAGCTTCTTCCCTGTTTCTCTTTCTACCATGGCATGAAATAATTTGAAGCGATCAAACACTAGATCCTTACTCTTTAAACAATAAGCCCATACCTTTCGTGACGCATCATCAGTGAATGTGACAAAGTATCTGCTTCCTCCAAGTGACTCTTCTTCAATGGGTCCACATACATCAGAGTGGACAAGATTGAGTAACTCTGTATGGTTCTTCCTGGTAGAAATAAAAGAAACCCTGTGCTGTTTCCCAAATAGACAGTGCTCACATGGATCTAGGGAAACACCTTTGCCCATGGAAATGCTTTCCTTCTTTGCAAGAGTTGTCAATCCCTTCACGCTCAAGTGGCCTAGCCTCCGGTGCCACAAGTTTGGTGATATCTATTCTTCAACAGCATTGAGACTCGGATGACACAACTTTGCATGAGTTTTATAAAGAGTACCACAAATATGGCCTCTTGCAACAACCAAGGAACCTTTACCGGAGAGTACCAACAACTTTGAATCGGTTAAGATATCCTTGCTGATCCAGAGCTATACCGGAGATAAGATTCAATCTAAGATCTGGAACGTGTCGAACATCTTTCAACACAAGTGCGCATCCGACATTGGTTGTTATGTGCACATCACCAATGCCAACAATGTTCGAGAAACTGGTGTTTCCCATCTTCACAGCTCCAAAGTCTCCGGACTTATAAGATGTGAATAAATTCTGGTGTGGAGTGGCGTGAAATGATGCGGCTGTATCAATCACCCACTCAACATCATGAGTACCTTCGTGTAAACATTCTTGTTAACCATGTGTAACAAGACATACGTCTGATGACAAACTAACCATGGTCTCACCGTCTTCTTGGCTAGTATTTTGACTCGTCTGTGGCTGCTCTCGTAGAAACTTTCTACAATCTCTTTTTATGTGCCCATAATTACCACAGTAGTTGGAATATTCTTCAAACCAAGTATTGTTTTCACAGGACATACCTCGTTCTTGTGATCGGCCGCGAACTTGAGAATTTCTCCTGTTTTGACTTTGACCTCTACCTCGACCTCGACTTCTTCCTCCATTTCTGCCTCCCCCCGCATGTTGGTTTCTGACATGAAGGCATATGATTGTTTAGTCCCGGCTTCTTTTCTTTTGGCTTCTTCGTTCATAAGGGCATCTGTGACCATCTGTATAGTCACCTTGCCATTGGGAGCAGAATTGCTGAGAGTGACAACAAGAGTCTCCCAGCTGTCAGGTAGAGAGCTCAAGAGTAGTATCGCCTGCTCTTCATCTTTGAGAACCCATTCGGTGGTACTCAACTTATTCACAAGATCCTAGAATTGACTAGTGTGTTCTGACACCGAAATACCTCCTCGTAACTTGTGGTTTACTAATCTCCTCATCAGTAACGTCTTATTTCGGGCGGTTTTTGCTTGATACATGCTACCAAGCTTCTCCCATAGTGTGTAAGCACTTTGTTCTTGCGCAACATGGTGGAACACACTATGATCTATCCATTGTCGAATTTGTGTGACAGTTTTTCGATTCATTTTTGTCCATTCTTCATCCGTCTTTTTATCCGGTTTCACACCATTATTATCGAGAGGGTCGGCTAAATCCCTCAAATTTAGCAAATCCTCCATCTGATGCTTCCACATATTGTAATTTGTGGAAGTGAGTGCAATCATGGTGTCCGATGATGATTTATCCATAATAAAACACTCAATATATCACGTACCTTATTTTCGAAGCCGAATTTGGACAAACGAAGCTCACCGTTGGATCCGGAATGGCCGAAAAGGTAGGAACCGGTCTGACCTCGTCCAAAACCGGTCTAGAAATGGGTGTACTGGCCTCCACAACTACGAACCGGTTCGGTCCAGTTCAGGCAGCAGCCCAGCCTGCATCCCAGCAGGCGGATGACGTGGCTCTGCTCCCTCGCTGACGTGGTGATGATGTGTAGCCACATGGTGTCTGACGTGGCTCACAGCGGACGGCTCGGGTGGATGACGTGGCGGATGACTCGGCACCACATGTCGCTGACGTGGTCCAACATGGTGATGACGTGGCAGCTGGCGTGGATCGTCTTCTTCCTCTTGACTGCGTGATCTTGCAATGATGACGCAGGCAGTTTTCTGGCGGCGTTTATGCGGCGCGTACGGCCTCTTCTGGTGGCCAAAACATTCCCCAAAAATACTAGTATGATCTGATCGTGATTCCGAGCAACTTCAAAAATCACGATTTTCTAACCTGTAGAAATTTATCTAAAAATGAGAAAACAGTGTATGGAAACTCAACCTCGCTCTGATACCACTTGTTGGGATTGGAAAAATTTTTCTATTCAATATCAAAAACAAAATTACAATAGGTGGAGCAAACTCGCACACTCAACTATTACAAAAAACCAATCCTCACCAATACACTTATACTCTAAGTGTATTTCATTCTTCACACAATTTTCTCACTTTCTAAACTGATACAATGAACAACATGGAGCACTCTATTTATAGGCTACTTTGGAGACAAGAGGAAGTTGCATCCAAGCTTCCTAATTATCTCCATATCTTCTCCTAAGCCTATTTGTTGGAGAGCTCCTTCCATGAAGGTGTGAGATGTCTCTTGGCAACTTTCAACAAAGAAGGTGGAAATTCCCTGCAGTTCTGGTGGTGGTACGGTTGTCGTTGCTGACTTGCTGCCCTGCCCGTTGGTGGTGTCGATGCTACTCCGGCCACTGAGGAGAATAAAGTCATTGATGAAGAGAGTGAAGAGAAATACATGGCTTGTTAGCTTTTGATTTGCGGACAATTTTGATAATTTTATCACACTCATATATCGTATTTGAGTACAATTAGGTAAAGATGCAAAGTTGAAAAGGGCTTGGACATTTATTCTTTTATTGAAGGCTGATGCTCAGCAAAGATTGCATTTTTCCAATTGTGGATTTCAAAATCGAGATTATTTTGTTTGCGCCTTTGAATTAATTGAAGTTGCTTATTAAGAAAAAGTGATAATGCGAACTAAGAATCAAGGTTTTATGAAAATATATGAGGCCTTTGAAATTTGTCCTTGTGTTCGCACTCTAAGGTGGAAGTTTATTTTCTCATGGGTCGCCGTCCACCGCTGGATCCTGTCTGGTGGTCGGCTTATGTTCTCTCGTTGGTAGAAGCCATGTGAAGGAGATGAGACAGACAGTGCTAATTTATTCCATAAAGGACATAATTGGAATGAAATAACAAGTGTGGATGTATTTAGAATTACCATAACACCCGAGGAATGAAAGCAATAGTTCACCGGTCCACCCCGGTTGAATTTTCAACTAGATTTTAGTCAACGAGAGCTTAAAAGTGTTCTTAAAAACACAAAAGTCAGCCGCCGCCAGACAGCAGTCAACCGAGAATTTGTTACTAGAAGAGGCAGCGAAAATTTAAAAAAAAAATTAGAGGTACACAATGCCTACATGCATACCCTTAAAATGTTTTCTTTTCGACTGTTTTATGTTCCAACTATATTAGACTAGATTTAAACAGAATAAACCAAAATCAACAAAAAACGGACATTTATCAAACAAAAACGCCTTTAGTTGTTTGTATACACAAAAGTCAACAATTTTGAAATTTACACAAAGTGTATAAAAATAGAAGTACATTATTTGTGTACACCAAGAATTAAATACATAAATTCATGCAAATAAAGAGTAAAAATTAGGAGCGCCCATAAATCTACTTATCCCATTTTAAAATATTCTGAACTCATGTGAATATTATCCTATTATATTTAGTGTAGGGCCCAATGTTTTGTTTCATTTCCAACAGATATCGATCTAAAACATATTTTTGGTTTATACAGTATACTCGGTAGTACTTAAGATTTATAATAAAGAAATTACCCCTAATAGAAGTAAAATATAGGAGAGTAGTTCCAAAATAGAAACTTATGTTTTTTATTCCCAAAATAAGAGTTCAATTTCAATCCTACCCTTATCTTTATTTTCTCCGTAGCCCACCAAAACCCCATAGATCTGACTTTTAACTTTTAATTAATTTTGAATTTACATACGGAGTATTTAAAAATCTGATATTAGTCTTTTAGCCATTTTAAATCTGTAAAATGCCAATTTGAAAAATAATGCCATTTTGAAGATGACAATTTCATACGGAGTATTAAAATATAGAAACTTTAATTTAATGCCATGTTTTTATTGTGAAAATGGCATTTCAGCAAATATTATTATTTATGGCACTAAGTAAAGAAAAATGGCAATATTTTCAATATTCCAAAATAAACTTGTTATTTATGGCACTACGTCAACAAAAATGATAAATTTTTCACAATTTCAATATGAACTTGTTGTTACAAATGCCATTAAGATGGCATTCTACTTCCATGATGGTGGCACTTACTATAGAAATCTCTCCATGCATGAGGTGGGCAGCAATCCTGACAGAGGAGGTGGTTGTGGTGGGGGAGGTCATCGATCGTCGCTGGAAATACTCGTCGCCGGAGCAGATCTATAGGAGCTCATAGGAGTTGCTCATTGCCTGAAGAGATTGTTGGAAAAGGTTGTTGCCGGAGACATCAGTGGCCGGAGGCGGCGCTGGCGGGGAGCTGCGGTGGCGCCGCCATAGGGTGGCGCCGGCGGCACATGAGGTGGAGGCCAGTGGCAGCAGCAAGCAGGATGCCTAGTTGTGAATGTTTTTATTTGATATATCTGTTTTTCAATTAAGGGTAGAATGGTCAAGTCATATATTTTCTACTCCTATTAGAGATAAAAAAACATTAAACCCCATTTGTGAACTTTCTCAATGTTTTACTCCTATTAAGAGAATTAACCATTTATAATATGACTAATACCTAGTCATAGTATAAGATTTATCATCAAATCCAGAAAAGTTAGGGAGTACGGAGTATAACATAATTTTTTTTGCGAGAGTATAAAATAATTTTAAATGTGTATACTCCTGGTATGGATATACGTACTATCTTACATATCTATGTGAGTGGGGCACACATTATCTGAACTTCTCTGAACCACTCCCTTCCTATAAAAGGGTTAACTAAGTTGTGGAAAAACAAGTGCAACGATTGCAATTCATCAACCTAATTAATTAGTATTGGTTTCATTCCGTCGTCATGGCTACAACCACCACACAGGCTCAATTGTGGAATGCAGCAATATTGCTCGTAGCTTTAATGGCATCTCTCCACCTCACAGGTAATTAGTTTTAATACTTCGTATTAACTCCAAATAAGTTCAAAGTGGCTTGAAAGCTCACTCTCTATTTATTATGTTGTGATTAAATTACAATTTACATTCACCCTCCCATATTAATTTCACTTTTTATACGCTTTAACATCCATATTTGACTGTTTTTTTTAAGTGTGCGTAAGATAAAACGACCCTTAGTAATTGCCTTCATATTATAATAAAGTTCAAGTTTTAAAAACATCAATTGTCGAACTTGACGAAGATTGACTTGGAAAAGTCCAATTTGGAGTGTATGCATTTATTTACTTCGTACGACGTATATGGATTACTCCGTGTAAATGTAATATACACTGTTTTCGTTAACATTAAATTAAAGATTATGAATTAAATAAAAAAAAGGATGACACCCCATCCCTAAGGGTCCCCCAACACCGACCGGACGAAACGATGGGAGGATGTAAATTGGACTATAATCACAATCTGACATATAGAGAGTGAGGCTCTGTCCCCGGTACTTGCAGAGGTCCTAATGCATTTTTCAGCATAGTAATCCCTCATCGCAGTTGCCGGGATTTGAACCCGAGACCTAACCCTTGTGGCACTCCCTTGCTACCAGTTGAGCTACGCCCACCGGTAGATTATGAATTAAATGTCTTTAGAGATCGGGGCGAAATTTATTCCTCAGGTGTGGACATGCGTGCTATACATTTTAAATGATGTAAAAACCTATTTAAACCACCTTCATATCATTAAACAGGGTAAGTTCATTATATATTTTCACACTTATATTTTCAAAAACTCCCAAAATCATTGTTCGACCTACTTTGACAGTTTATATTTCAAATCTATTTACGTAGAACCTTCAAATTGAAATTGATTTATAATTAATTACTATTGAGTACAATGATAAACTAAATAATTGCTATCAAGTACTTAGAAATAAATTAAATTGACGTTCATTCCTTTCCAAACTTCATAGATGGTAAGAGTTGCATCTTTTAATCTATGGTATTAATAATCATTAAATATTGTAAATTGAATTAAAAATTGCATAATAATTACAAAGTCTAGGTTTCTTGGATACAATCTATACATTCTGTTTTGATTTTCACTAATAAATAAAATCCGTATATGGCTTAACAAATTATTTGAGTTTTTTTATTAATCTTTGGTCAATTTATAAATAAGAACTTATTTATTCATTAATCAAATAAGGAGTTTTAGTTTTGTCCTTTTATTAGAACTAAACTATTTTGTCAATAAAATCTGCTATTTAGTTAATAACAAAGTACAAATTTCTAATTGAAATTGATCTTTCAATTAATTGCTATTGAGTCCAATTAGTGAATAGTTATTATTTGCAATTAAGTCCCAAATTCATAGTATTTACTCAATTGATTACTATTGACTCCAATAGTGAATATTCATTAAATTAATTACAATTAAATCCTAAATTACAGTGAAGAAAAGATCACCACCGGAATTCCAAACGAGAACTGCAGTCTAGCTGCCGCGATTTGAGGATGTTCTCGATGTTATTTATGAGTTTTAGATTATGTTCACAAAATTTCACCTTAAAAATTGATTGAGAAGTCAATTAAACAAATCATTGAAAATAATGCATTTTATATTTAACTATTTTGGCGCAATGTTTTTCAATACTTTTTTTAATTGATTTTCCGGTCGAATTTTAAGTTGAAAGTTTGTGGATATATTCTAAACTTCATATAAAATATGCTTACAAAATTTAATCAAGAATAAACCACGGGGAACTATCTCAAATCGTGACGGCCGGATGGCAGTTTCGATAAGAATGTCCTGACTTGAATATTATTCTATTATGGAGCATCAATTTCCAAATAAACTACAAATAATATAATCATTCCATTTAAAGAACATATGTACTATTAAAGTTAATTTCAATTCATCATTTGATTTCCTATTCACATAAATATTGTCGCACACTTGCACTACCTGCAAAATTCATCAAGGAAGCGTGAAGGAAAAATTGTCGCATATCCCGTCTTTGATTATATATGCTGAAGTTATGCTCATACACGAGGATTGTTCTAAGATTTTAGACGTTACACCAAGCAATTAACATCATGAGTAACTACATGCTATCGTTGATCGAAGGCCTAGGAGTTACATATCTTAGTTACAATGTCGAATATCTTAATAGCGTTTCAATGGTTGATTGTCTAACCGTTTTATTGAGCCCCCAATAATGTTATTGAGGAATATTAATCATGCATAAAGTTTATTCAATAGAACATGATTGGTCATAACCAGATTGGAAAAACAAGTATGACAAGTGTACACTAAAACGATCCCGTGAAAACTACTTCCATATTATATGATTATGAGTACTTTATGATTATCCACATTGGACCTTCACTTTTTCAAAAGTATATAAAATAGAAGAATGTGATGAAATATGCTTTCATAATGGCAATCATGTAGAGCTTGTACATGTTCTTGTATTTGAATAGAAATGCACATCCGGTCAAGGTTAGGAATTGGAAAAGAATTTTGCAATGGGAAAATGGAAACTAATAATCCGACCTTTTAGCGGTCTTCTTTTAATAGTCCGACCTTTTCGTTATTCATGAATAATCCAACCTTTGCACCTCATCTTCATTCATTGGTCCCCGACCGGTTGATGACTTGCTATTCCGAGTTATTTTCTCATCTCTGCAAACTATTATACCATAAATTCAACCTTTCACAAAGATAATATTTTGCAAAGATAATAAAATAACTTGGAATAACATGTCATCAACCGGTCACGGACCAGTGAATGAAGATGAGGTGTAAAGGTTGGATTATTCATGAATAACGAAAAGGTGGGACTATTAAAAGAAGACCGCTAAAAGGTTGGATTGTTAGTTTCCATTTTCACTTTTCCAATTTCTTATGCACTTTTTTGGCAAAACTTTCTTCCTCATTTTTTTGAAAACAATTTCTTCCTCACTTATTGACAACGTTTGTAATTGTGAACATTTTTACAGTGGGCCAGATCGGAGTTTACTACGGAAGAAACGGCGACAACTTGCCATCTCCGGCAGCGGTGGTGGGCTTATACAAGCAATACAACATCCAGAGAATGCGAATTTACGAACCATTCCACCCTGTTCTCGACGCCCTCAGAGGCTCCAACATCGAGCTCACCGTCAACGTCCCCAACATCAACGACCTCCAGTACGTCGCCGGCAGCCAGGCCAACGCCAACCAGTGGGTCCAAGACAACGTCCGGAGCTACTTCCCCGCCGTCAACTTCAAACACATCGTCGTCGGCAACGAAATCTCCCCCATCAAAAACAGCCAGTACACCAATTTCGTACTCCCCGCTTTGCAGAACGTACAGAACGCCATTAACGCCGCCGGCCTCTCAGGACAGATCAAAGTCACCACCGCCGTCGACACCGGCATTCTGGGTAACGCTTATCCGCCCCAGAACGGCGTTTTCCGGGGAGACGTCGTCGGGTACCTGGCCCCGATCATCCGGTTCTTGTCGGATAATGGGTCGCCGTTATTTGTCAGCATATACCCTTATTTCTCCTACGTGGACAACTCCGGCCAGATCAACCTCAATTATGCTCTGCTTCAGCCCAACAGCGGGGTCAACGCCGGCGGGGTGTACTACGACAATCTTTACTACGCGTTTGTCGATGCCATGTATGCGGCGATGGAGAAGGTTCTGAATGGTGCCGGAGCAGCGTCGACTTCGCCGTTATACGGTGCTGTTAAGGCCGGCGGGAAGTATGTTCCGCCGGTGAAGGGAGGAGAGTCCGGTTGGCCGAGCCGCGGCGGCGGAGGGCCGGCGAATTACGACAATGCAAGGATATACAACAACAATTTGGTTCAGGTCGTGAAGAAGGGAACGCCCAAAAGACCAAATCAACAAATTGAGACTTACATATTTGCTATGTTTGATGAAGATCAGAAGCAGCCTGCTGGGGTGGAGAACAATTTCGGTCTTTTTACTCCAAACGCCCAACTCAAATACCCAATGAATTTTAACTGAATTGCAAGAGACTTAAAAACTAATAATGCACTACAAAAAATTACTGGATCGACATCAATTTGACACAGATTGATCAATGAATTCATGCCAAATGGCTCGTTCCAACATGTTTTGAACATGGATTTGTCATAAATTTTAGAGAATCTCTGTCAAAAATTTATGTCAATCTCGGTTTTTTGTAATGATCTTTACGTCAATAAAACAAAAACTGTTGTATCCCTTACTTGGAATAGCTAGTAATTAAGGAGTGTTTAATCAAAATGATTATTGTAAGCTCCAGTTATAAGGTGTTATTGGGTGTACCTCTTATGTGATGGGTTAATAAAATCGCAATTGGTTCCATCTAAAAGCTACTCCGTATATAAAGATTTGTACAAATATAGTTTGTTGTTTCGTAATTATTATTGGATTTGAATTATGTGCGTTTGTTGTGATTGTTACCCAAGAGTAATATTTCGCTACATACTACCTATCTCACATCTGATCCATAAAAATGCTCTTCCTAGGCTCCTAGCTTTCCTTTGCACAACTAAGAATGACTTCAATTCCACTAAAATGATTCTCGTCTAGTCAAGTTTAAGTTGTTCTGCTTTAATTTGGTGGTATGTTCAAGAATAATCTAATTTGAATTAGTCAGAGTTTCTCACTTCGTTCCAAAAGGTTTTCACTTTCATATATTTTATATTATTATAAATATTTTGAAATGAAGTTTTCTTTTACGTAAAAAGAGATTATTACAGATAAAAAAAAATGAAGTTTTCATTTATCTAAAAAGAGACTCTTTCTAAAAAGAGATTATTACAGACTCTAAAAAATGAAGTTTTCATTTATCTACAATTTTTTGAATTTTTTCGATTTTATTATGAATTCAACATTTAATTATGACTTTTGACTACCTTTTACTCATATATAGAGGAGGGGTAAGAATGTAATGAAAAATAAGTATGTTTCCAATAGGAGTAATATGGAGAGCCTATATCATACAACCGGGTGTACGTACACCCGGCCCAACCAAGGAAGACAGCCCAACAATCAATACAGGCCAATTTTTTTCGGTGGCTATTTTGTAATTTGAGCGAAAAATCGCGGCTTCCGCTAAATGAGCAATAGTCTATGAAGCACGGATACTTCCCTAGGGTAGCGTATCGGCGTATCCGATACGTTCCCGTATCCGATACTCTAGGATACCCGTACCGTACGTTCCCGGGCCGTATCTGCAATTTTTAAAAGTTTCCATTTTTTTTGTAATTTTTTAAAAGTTTCTGATACTCGTATCCTGACGAATACCCGTATCAACTTTTTTTTTAAAAAAATCCCAAAATTTACTTAATAAAATTCAAAAAAAAATGAAAATCTAAAACTACATTTTACTTGGTAATCAAATAATGGGCCTATATGGCTATATCCGAATTAAGACATTAACTCATACTCTGAATGGGTACTTGCACTTTTAATTTCAAGATTGTAGTTGTTTGACTTATTTCTCATTTTAATTTAATGACTTATTGACTACATTTATATTTCGAGATGCACTCGTGTATATGAGAAATATTATGAATTTATTACTAAGTATCTTGAAAAAGGAAAATGATCAATGCAATGAATGGGTAGACATCATAGGATATTATATGTATATATATATTTTTTCAAAAAAAAACTATTTTTAATATTTATAAATAGACCCCTATAACTTTTAATATTTGTAGATACACCCCATAACTTTTAATATTTATAAATATGGCCCCGTATCCGTATCCTACTTTTTTGGGTTTTGACGTATCCTTGTACCCGTTTCCGCGTTTCCGCGTACCGGTATCGGTGCTACATAGGCAATAGTGTAATTTTACCGAGCATCTGACCTATTTTATTGAGTATTAGGAGGCTAACAATGAGTTTCACGATATTTGCTTCATATATTCTAATTATCTTTCTTATTCTTATTTTTTCTATTTAAAAACTTATTAAATTATATCTATAATCCACTCTTATTAATTTCAATATGCGAGTCTAATATAATATGATACTTTTGAAATATGCATTGATATGACATTGTAAAAATGAGCTTTACATTAATACCAAATGGGCACACATAATTACAAAGTGTACATTGATATGAAAATCATAAGGTTTTGTTAGTTGAACATCACGCCACTTTAATTGAGCATCAAACATCCGCTATTGAGATGAAAACCAAAATTTCTTGTGAATGAGCATTAATGAACTTTTAATGAGCATCCGGTCTATTACGTTGAGTATTAGGTGTTTAATATATGAGCATAAGATCGGTATCAGATGAACATACATAACTAACAAAATGAGCACTAATGAATTTGTTAGTTGGGTTGTTAGTTGAAAATCACGATATTTTCATTGAGCACCAAACCTCTTCTATTGAGATGGAAATAATGGTTTCTGTTAAATGAACATTAATACACTTTCAATGAACATGATACTTATTTTGTTGAGTGTTAGTTAGTTTCATAAGCATTGATATGACATTTTAAAATGAGCATAACAGCAGTCCTGAATGAGTATACATATATTATAAAATGAGCATTGAAAAATCCAAAAACTCATTAAAATCTCTGATGCGCTCAAATATTCATTTTCGTAACAAAGAGAAATATAATAAATTATAGTATCGAAACAATATATAATTTGTTATTCTTCAATTACAAAACTAATCATAATATTGGTACTGACGAAATGAGCAACGAAAAGATTCAAAAAACTCATTTGAAAGTTACAGTATGCTCGAATTTTCATTTGTGTACCTCATTTGAATTCTCTAGTGTGCTCAAATTTTCATTTGTGTATGCTCATTTGATTTTTCTAACGTGCTCAAATATTCATTTATGTATGTTCAATTCTTTTAACTGTTATACACATTTATTATACTCAGTTACTCACTATACTCATTTTCAATATATAACATAAAACTTATATTAGTAATTGATAAGCTCAAAATTTTAACACACAATACTAACATATAATATTAAAATACACATATTAAATTTTAACATATACGGTACTATTAATATCTTGGAATTGAGAACTAAAATAGTCCGTTCAATACTTTGCGTTGGGGATAGAAGGCCACAACCACACAACGCTGAATCCACAACCTAATTCTCCTTCGTCCGAACACCCAACGAGCAACAGTGGAAGAAAATCCCAGAACTTCAGCGAGCGAGCAGATCGACGCCTCCTTCAGACCTCAGCGAGTGAGCAGATCGGCGCCTCCTTCATCAGACCTCATCGAGCGAGCAGATCGACACCTCCTTCATCAGGCCTCACCGATCGGGGAAGAACAGAACTAAATACCATTTACCATGGGAGTTGTAATTAATTACAAAAATACTCGGTTGTATGGTGAGCACCGTACAACCGGGTGTACGGTATAATTTACCAGTAATATGATCCTATTTTGGAATAAAAACATAACAAGTCCTATTTTGATTTTTTGTTACAGTTGTATGTCCTCCTATTTGGAGTAATTTCTATAAATTTATCCATGGTTTATGCAAAGGGATATGTAACATATATACCGTTCAACTATGTGATAGAAGACATCTATACCCCTCATCTATTTTTGAGTACAAAATTCTTTTAAAAGCAAACATAAGAGCCAAATTTACCTTTTCCTTTAGGCCAGGGCCGTTGCCGTCAACTCCCCCGTTAATGATACTTTCTTGACATCTTCTATTCCGCATCAACTTTTTTTTCTTTCACAAATGGGTTTCTTAACCCACTTTATTATTTCTCTCAAAAGATATGGATAACTTGTTAATTTACTACTAAGTATGTACGTAGTAATATATTTAAAAATGGACGGCCGCATCTTCATTTCTAGAGAAGCTCATACAGCTTCATTAAAGAATTGTTATCAACATATAAAAGTAGGGGAGTGTTTTAGAAAATTTAGAGACAAAAAATTAAAATGGGCCTAATCTTTAAAATAAACTCTAAAATCATTTTTTGTCTAAACTGATATGTATTATCCTTCATTTTTTAAGGATGTTTTTACTTGAATTGTTTTCAGTTCCATATCAGACCAGACTTGACTTCCGTATTTATAAAATACACATAGACCATATGTTTGTCAAACCAGACCGGATCAACTCAGACCAGATCAGACCATCAAATTACAGTTCAAGTAAAAACATCCAAAATATTATAGCGTTGGTGGTCCTCATTCACGATGGAAAAAATGGTGGTCTACTTGTTCACTTTACTAATATTTTAGTCTTACTTAAGCAATTAACTCTATTATTGTCACCTCCAAAATTTCTCTTTCCAATAGTGTGATTATTTTGAATCTAGTTAAATCATTCTTTTTCTGTGAGTTCTCATCATAAGGAGGGCATTAAAAATTTGACTTCTTTGCGCAAACTCTTTCATTGAATATTTTATTACTTAGCGCTACTTTCTCTAATATTCTCCACTTTTTTGTCTTTAAACTATCCAGATTCAATCATTTTTGTTACACCTTGAAATCATACAATTTCCCGATTTAATTTTAAACTGAAATTTTGTGGGCATAATCTACACTTGATGAAAGACATGCTCAAAATATTTTGTAAAACATTATTAAAATGTACTACAAAGCACTACAAAATTAACATGCTCATATAATGTGTACATATTCAAAAACATTATTAAAAACACTACAAAGCCTGATAAAAAAATGTAAATTTCATAAATAAAATTGATATGTAAATTAAAAGATTAAAAGTAATTTATGTTGACCATATGAATAGTGAATGAGAAGTTAATTTTTGGACGAATGCAATATATAATCAAATTATTCTGCATAAAATGTTATTAACTTTATATTAATGTAAACTTTCAAAATATTATCTGCATTTAATTTTTACTAATATGTAATTAAATGTAATGACAGTCAAAGTTGTGGATGGTTAACGTGAAAGTCAAATTGTTGCAACTTTAAGAATGTTTTTACTTGGACTGTAATTTGCTGGTCTGGTTTGTTTATGTCTGGTCTAGTCTGGTCTTGCAAATGTTTGGTCTCTGTGTATTTTATAACTACCGAAGTCAAGTATGGTCGGGTCAGGTCTAATCTGTTTAAGTCTAGTCTGATCTAGTCTGTTTAAGTCTGGTCTGATTTGGGATCGAAAACAGTTCAAGTAAAAATATTCTTAAAGAATGAAGGATAGTACATGTTAGTTTAGATAGAAAATGATTTTACATTTTTTTTAAATTAGGCCCTTTTTAATTTCTTGTCCCTAAACTTTCTAAAACACTCCCCCACTTTTATATGTTCATAACAATATATTCTTTAATGAAGCTGTATGAGCTTCTCTAGACATGAAAATGCGGCCATGCTATATTACTACGTAACAAGTTGATCTATATAATTTGAGAGAGAAATAATAAAGTGGGTTAAGAAACCCATTTGTGAAAAAAAATGATACTGAATAGAAGATGTCAAGAAATATCATTAACAGGGAATTGACGGCAACG